CGGACTTGAAGATCTACAAGGTCCCTTCCGACCCTACTTCTATGATTCTATGATGATTCTATGATTATATGACCTGCCCCTAATGAACCCATGTTGGTTGCCCCTAAGTATAATCTCCCCTGCTGGTCCCTCACAGATGTGCTCCTGAATAATTTTCTCAAAGAGCTTCCCCAGGACCGAGGTAAGACTAAAGGGCCTATCGTATCCCGGGTCCTCCTTCCTCCCCTTTTTGAAAATGGGGATCACATTGACACTTTTCCAGTTCTCTGGCACCTGGCCAGAGCACCACAAGTGCTCATAAAGCCATGCCAGGGGTCCCACAATAACCTCTGCCAATTCCCTCAGCACCCTGGGGTGGCGATCATCTGGACCTGCTGATTTGAACACGTCCAGCCCTACCAGAAGTTCCCTGACTAGGTCCTCTGTGACCCTAGGCCTGGCTGTGCCTCCCCTGAGTCCGTCTGGAATCCCGGTGGGGGGGGATGTCCCAGTCCCTGCTCAGAAAAATGGAGGCAAAGAATTTGTTAAAGAGATCAGCTTTGTCATCTGGTGCAACCACCAGATTGCCAAGCGTGTCCTGTAGGGGCCCCACATTACCCAGTGCTTTCTTTTTACTCCCTATGTATTTAAAAAAGCACTTCTTGTTATCTTTGATCCTGGTTGCTAGTCCTAGTTCTGCCTCTGCCTTAGCCTTCCTAACAGCCCCGCTACAGTCTCGAGCAACGGAGGTATAATCCTCCTTGGTGACGGCCCCTCCCTCCCATCAGGTGTACGCCTCCTTTTTAGCTTTCAGACATTCTTGAATGCCTTTGGTGAGCCATGGGAGCTTTTGAACACTCTTGCCTCCTTTGACTCGCATTGGGACTGTCACCCTTCGGGCACAGAGGATCGTCTCCTTAAGGAACAATGACTCATCTCGGACTCCCAACTCCCCTACTCTCCAGGACCTCAGTTCCTCCCCGACTAATCTTCTTAGCTCATTGAAATTGGCCCTTCTGAAGTCAAGGTCTGCTGCCTTGCTGCAGGCTGTTGACACCCTGTACTGGATGGTGAATTCCAGTAGGTGGTGATCGCTATCGCCCAGGTGGTTGAGAACCTGCAGTCCCCTCACCAGGTTGTTGCCTGTGGCCAGGACCAGGTCCAGCAAGGCATTTCCCCTGGTGGGACTGTGTACCTCCTGGACTAGGTGGATGTCCTGTATCTCGGCTAGGAACCTACATGAGTGGTCAGACCTGGCTGACTGCTCCTGCCAGCAGATATCCAGGTAGTTTAGGTCACCCATGATGATCAGGTCCCTTGACCTAACTGCCTCCACAAGCTGACCTGAGAATTCCTGGTCCAGCTCTTCCCCCTGGTTAGGTGGTTAATAGTAGACAGCCACCATTTAGTCCCTTTCCCCTCGACCCCCTTGTATTCCAACCGAAAGCACTCAGTCTGCCCCTCCTCTGACCCTGTGCTGTTTGTTTAGGACAAGTATTGCTCTTTGATGTAGAGCACCACATCCCCAGCTTTCCTCCCCATTCTATCCCGTCTGAACAGTCTGTAGCCCTTGATGTTTACCACTCAATCATGGATTGAATCCCACCAGGTTTCAGTGAGCCCCACTGTGTCTGGGATTGTGTTAGCTAGCAGGAGGGCAAGTTCCTCCTGCTTGTTCCCCATACTACGAACATTAGTGTAGAGGCATTTAAGGCCTCCTAAGGGTACATGCACCTCCCTGCTGATCCCAGGTCTATCCAGACCCCTGTCACTATCTGGGTACTTCTTGTGTTCGTCACCTGTCTTGGCTGGGAAGTGTCCTTGTGTCCCCCCACTGTGGCCCCATCCCTCAGCAAAGCTAGCTTAAAGCACACCCGAGCATTTCCCCTGCATGAAAATGTGGGTTGTTGTCAAGCAACCTGAGGGCTGCCTGGTGGCACCAACTCCGAAGGCGCCGGTTGACCACTCTGATGCAGGCCTCGTGGCTCCGTCTGCATCTACTTACTGGCAGAATAGAGAAGAATACCACCTGCACCTCTGTCTCCTTGAGCTTGGCCCCCAGGGCCTCGTAGTCCTTCATGATGTGGTCTGGACTGCTCCCCGCCACATCATTTGTTCCCATGTGGATTAGGACCATGGAGTACTGGTCTGAGGGTCAAATGAGGTCCAGGATCATGCCTGTAACATCCTGAATCTGAGCCCCAGGCAGGCAGCAGACCTCATGTGCCATGGGGTCAGGTTGGCTGATGGGACCCTCTGTTCCCCTGAGGATGGAGTCTCCGATGACAAGGACTTGGCGTTTCTTCCTCATTGTGTTCCGTCCTTGCTCAGACTGTGCTGTGTGTAGAGTGGCACCATCCCCCCGCAGAGGCATCCACTTTGACCTTCTCCTCCAAGGCTGCCAAGGCCTAGAATCTGTTCCCCAGTTGTACCTGGGGAGCCACCACCATGCTAGCCTGAGCAGCCCTGGTTCTGGTGGTCACCTCCTGTCATTCCTCTGTTGTGTGTCCTTCCCAGGAGGTCTGTCTGCTGGAAGACTAATCCTGCAGAGAATGGAAATATGTGTCAATTTTGTCCACCGCAGCCCCGATTCCTTGTAGCCTGCTCACCTCAGCCTGAAGTTTCCTCACCTGCTCCTCTAGGGCCCGAAGTTGGGCACAAGAGGGACAGGCAAGGGAGCCTCCAGACCCTTCCTCCACCCACGGCCTCCCGGTCCCCACCAGGCAGCTCCCACAGACAGGGGGGCAGGGGGCCACCTATCCCACCATAGGCTCTATCTGGATGGAGGCCTCAGAGGAGCCCAGGGTAGGTGGCACCATTGGGGCAGGGTCTCCAGTGGCTGCCCTCTGTGTCCTTACCACTGAGGCGTGGTCCCTAGCAGCTGCTCCCCGTGTTCTTACCATGTCCGTGGAGCTGTGAGTCTTCCTCTCTCTCTTGCTGGAGACTCCTTCCTGGCTCCTGCTGCATGCCCACCTTGTACAAATGCCAGCGCAAACGCCGGCGAGCCTTTACAGAGCCCGCCTGTTTGCGCACTCTGTTTGTGCACAGCTTAGGACCGCAGCTCCCTGCTGGCTCAGTTAAGAGGGATCCAGGGGGCTCCCCCTCCGGATCCTCTACAGCTGTGCCAGCTTCCGTGCCCCACTTACCTTTAAAGGATCTGTCTCCGCTGCCTCTGCCACCGCTGGTAAGTACAGGGGGCACACGTGTTCTGGAGGCTTGATCAAACAGTGGCTTGTAAGGGCCATGGTTTGAATTACCCACGCTCGCCCAGCAGCCAATCAGGCTGCTGTGGCCTGGCTCTGCCAATCAGGCTGCTCCGGGCTTCCCTGGCACAGCCTGCTGGCAGCCCAGATCCCTGTGTCACCCTCCTGCAGGGAGAGGCCTGGTTCCTGGGGTGGCTGCAGCTGCTGCCCCAGGGATCAGCCTCTGGACAGTCCCCCCTCACCCAGGGGGAAGTCCCCCCACTAGCCAGTTGCCTGCCTACACCCCACAGAGCACACCTGTTTGCACGCTCTGTTCGTGCATGGCTTGAGAGTGCGGCTTCCTGCCGGCTCAGTTAAGAGGGATCTGGGAGGCTCCCCCTCCGGATCCTCTACAGCTGTGCCGGCTTTACCTTTAGAGGATCCACCACTGCTGTCTCTGCTGCCACTGGTAAGTACAGGGGGCACATGTGTGCTGGAGGCACACGTGCGCCCACTCCGGACTCAAGCCCCAATTTGGATGCACTGGATGTGTTTAAGTCAGCAGGCCTGGATGAGCTGCATCCAACGGTACTGAAAGAATTGGCCAGTGTCATAGCAGAACCACTGGCATGGCTGTTTGAGCACTTGTGGTGCTTGGGTCAGGTCCTGGAGGACTGGAAAAGGGCCAATGTGGTCCCTGTTTTCAAGAAAGGAAGGAAGGAGGATCCAAGTAATTATAGGCCAGTTAGTTTTACCTTGATCCTTGGAAAAGTCTTTGAAAAAATGATAAAGGTTCCTATTTGTGAGAGTCCAGTGGGAAAAATAACGCAGCAGGGCAACCAGCATGGGTTCATAGCACATACACCATGCCTGACTGATCTGGTTTCCTTTTATGACCAGGTCACAGAACGCCAAGACGCAAGAGTAGAAGTGGATATCATTTACTTGGATTTTAGGAAGGCCTTCAATCTGGTATCTCACCCTATTCTCATAAATAAATGAAGAGGCTGTGACTTAGATGTTTACACAGTCCGGTGGGTGGCAAATTGGCTTGGGGGTCACACTCAGGTGGTGGTGGACAGGTCAGTATCAACCTGGAAGGATGTGAGCAGTGGGGTCCCACAGGGCTCGGTCCTCAGACCTGTACTCTTCAATGTCTTCATGAGTGACTTGGATGTGGGAGTAAGGTGTACTCTGTCCAAGTTTGTGGATGATACTAAATTGTGGGGTGAAGTGAACACACCAGAGGGTAGGGAATGACTGCAAGTGGACCTGGACAGGTTGGAAGAGTGGGCTGAAAACAATTGGATGCAGTTCAACAAGGAAAAATGCAGAGTGCTGCATCTAGGGCATAAATATATCCAGCACACTTACCAGCTGGGGAAAGACCCTTTCAGCAGCACAGATCTCAGAGTCATAGTGGACTCCAAGATAAACATGAGTCATCAGTGCAACAAAATCATCAGCAAAGCTAACTGCACTTTATCATACATTAGCAGAGGCATGACGAATAGATGCAAAGAGGTGATACTGCCCCTACCTCCAAGGTATCATGCAGGTTCAGCTGAAAGCTGCCTGGCCTTGGTGCAGCTAGGTCCGCAGGAGCTGGAATTAGGTTACTAGTCTTATCAATCTCAAGATCAAGGAATCCTTATTTTATGCTTTCAATATTTTGGAGATTTGCAGTGCTCTATAATTGCAAAACTATATACATTGTGTAATAATATATCATCTGTATTTTGCTTTCAAAGACGTGTGTTTCTCTAAACACTAGGACAATTAACTGCGTTTAGGTTAATCACATACTGCAATCCTGTTAATTAAAATGTTATGATTGTTTTGGATCCTCCTTATTTTTCCTCAACCGTTTTTAAAGTATAACTCATGACCAGGATATGTTAATATTGCTGGAAATACATTTGTTTATGTAAACTACAATCTATTGCAGTTATTATTGCATTTGTTGCATGCACATTTTGTCTCTGTGTCCAAAATAAGAAAGATATGATGGCGTTAGGCAATCTGCCTGCATGACTGTGAAAGGAAAATAATTAATCATGAACGATGGGGCTAAGTTTATATATACTTTGTAAACATTATATTTAGGTTCTTATAAGGTGCCAATTGTCATGGTAGAAGTAAAAGATTAATTGTTTTATTCAACTTACTATTGTACAGTGTTATTATCCCTACTTCAAGAGTTAGTATATAAAGTCCAAAGTGATAAAAAAAGCTGAAGGTCTAAACTTCAAAAGCAACAAATTAATAAATATATGGCATGTATTTTGACAGTTTTCATATTAATTTCATAGATTTCATAGACATTAGGGCTGGAAGGGACCTAAGAAGATCATCGAGTCCAGCCCCACGTCTGAAGGGCAGGAAGTCAGCTGGGGTCATAGGATCCCAGCAAGATAAGCATCCAGTTTACTCCTGAAGCTGTTCAATGTAGGTGCTTGAACTACCTCCGATGGCAGGCTGTTCCAGACCTTGGGGGCTTGGACAGTAAAGAAATTCTTCCTTATGTCCAGCCTGAAACGGTCTTGCAGTAGTTTATAACCATTCGACCTCGTCATCCCTTGGGCGCTCTGGTGGACAAACGTTCCCCCAGAATTTAAGTAAGTTTTAAGGGTATTTGAATGAGAAGAGAGTTGGAAATGGTTGGACTAGGAGAATGAGAGTTAACAAGTGTAGAAGGTCAGCATGGAAGAAAGCTTAACAAGAAGAGTCAGAAAAGTTCAAGTAGAACTTAGGTATGGGAGGCTTTGAGGGTGGTATGCAGGAGGAAATAAAGTGAAAATATGGACAAAGAACTTTTTCTTGTACAGAGATCTGACGCTAAGGATGAAAAATTCTAATAAGAAATAAATGCAGGATGAAACAAATGAATTCAAGGAATAAGAGGATATTGTTGGAGTGGTAGAAGTAGATGGTATAAAAGAGACTGCTTTAGAATGTAATAGGGTAAAATGGGCAAGGCAGCTTTCAGGTCTGCTTCCTACAGTGTTTGGGATTTAGCCCCACACAACCTACTGGGTCCCCAGTTCGGGTAGACTTCTAAGCTGCGTGCCCCTATAGCCCCCTGTGGCTTCCAGTCTACCCTGTACAGCCACATCCAGTCCTCTGGTTTAAACTAAAACAAAAAATGCAAGCAACTGCTTCAAACTCAAATGTATTTTAGTACAGCTATAATCTATTCACTGCCTTCATGGAGTTCGCCTCCCATAAACTATAACTCCGAAGGCTAGGCCAGCTTCTCACCCTCATGCATAGCTTCTGTTCCTCTGGGCACTGCTTCTTACAGTCTGCTTCCCTACGGAAGTTCCTCTCCCTGAAGCCTTCAGGGTTTGATTGCCTGCTTGGGCTTAGGGCCTGGCCTCATTGACCTGGGAGTCCCACCTCCTTCCAATCACTTACCTTTCCCTTCCCCATGCACAGGAGGTTTCATTCTCTTAATTAAGGATCAGGCTGTGCTCCTGCTGCTCTCTCCTCTTAAAGTGTCAGGAGCCCCTGGCTCCATGGCATGGGATCCCTCTCGACTCAATGCTTCAATCCCCATTCTCCTATTAAACATTTTCTCATGATCCTCTCCTGGATGTCATCTGCCAGAGCTCCTGCTTTCCTGTGGACTGCCTTGGCACAGGCTTCGGGTGTACTGACTGAGTCTTCCTCCCCCTCCCTCGGGTCCAGTTTAAGTGATCAGAAACTGGTTTGAATCTATAACAGAACAGACATTCAGTGCACATAAACCAATTTCAAAATGGCTAAAACCGGTTTGAGATAAACCCGGCTGAATGTAGTGTCAGACTTAACTGATTTGACTAAACTGGTTTATGCAGTGCCTGTCCCAGACTCCTTGCTGGTTTAAAATAAACCAGAGACCCCCAGCATCCCAGCATGCTCTCTGGGCTGAGAGGGGCTCTTTGCTCTAGCCCAGCCAGGCTGCCCTGCCATTTCTGCTCCCCAGCCCAAGCAAGGACAGGCAAGGGTGGGGGTCTGGCCAGAAAGGGGTTTAATACCCCCTTCCCTGTGCCACCAGCAGGGACCTGAGCAGGGTCTGCTGGTTGCTCCCTCCTCCTTCTGTAGCACCGGGCACCATGGCCCCTGAGGCAGAGCGGGGCAGGGAGGAGAGTTAGTCTCCCCTGTACCCCCACTGGCAGCCAGGTCTGCCTGCTGTCACTGCAGTATTCATCCCTGCCCTGAATAGGACCCGCAGCTGATCTCCCGCCGGAGGCCAGAGGAAGAAGGAATAACCCCTGTCCCTGCCCTCCCCAGGTGCCCTGCCTGGCCATGCCCCCACAGCACCGCTATGCTCCACAGCAGTTGTGCTGGCCCTACAGTGTGGCCCCCTGCTGGGAAGGGGCTCGCAGTCTGGGAAGCCATGATGGGCTGTTGCCAATCACCTCACTCACTGCAGTGTGCTCCCTAGGCCAGCTCCCTGGACTGTGTGCAAGGGGTGCGGTACCAGGTCCACCCTGCACACTGCATAGGGCATGAGTGGCTGGGGTTGGCACACAGGGTTGGTCCAGCAACTTATGGACCCCACTGGCCTGTAGGCCATATGCTTGATATCCCTGATGTATAGTAATTGTGTATGTGTGTGTATACACACACACACACAAACATATTATGGTAGGACTGAGCCCTAGGGGAGGAAGTGTTACCCCCTCATGACCACATGGCTCCTGCCCTGCTCTGACTCCTCAAGTACGCTCCCTTGTCTGTTATCTGGCACACTTGGATGGAGTTATTTTGATGGAGTTATATGGCCTTCTTATGCCTCTACAGCCATGTCTGTGCCTCGCAGATGTTATTCTAGATTCATACACCATTTGTACAGGTCCTCTGGCTGGGCTTTTGGGACTTAGCCTTGTCTGGCCCTTAGCCCATCTTGCTCTGCTTGGGCCCTTGCCCCTGGCCTGCATGGCTGAAGCCTACCCCTGATAGGGCTGAAAATCTGGAATGCCTCTCAGGCACCCCTGTGTGGTCTCTTGTCCTCCCTTTCAGCCACACTCTGGTCCTCCAGGTCTTAATCCGAACACAAATGCAAACCCACAAGCAGTGTAACAACAACAACAAAAATCTTACACTCTTGGTCAATAACTTCCTCACATATTATAAGTCCCTTTTAGCAATATACCTGCATCTCTCGGGAATATCCTGAGCGCCGGTAAATCCCTTTCTGCATCCCTCCTGCTCTAGAGCTCCTCTCTCTGCTGCTTGCAAGGCCAGACTGCCAGACTGTCCTCAGGAGGGTTTTCTTTCCTGGTCTTCTCTGATAAACCCCAGGGTGAGGACTTTATCTCTTATGGGGGAGCTCTCGTCTTTTCTGGTGGGGAGAGAGGGGGAGGCTCAGCCCCCCGTGACCCCTCCCATAATGTGACCCCTGCCTCTGTTATGTAGGTAGAAGAGAGACATGCAGGATGAAAGGGCTGCTCTGCCATCCCTTTCATCACTCGTGCCAATCCCAAAGTCATAAGGATTGCTATGGACATGGAAAGTGCCCTCTGATAGTGCAAAACAAAGTGAACAGAACACCATGCGATGCTAAGAAAAGCATTTCAAATACTTGTGGCCTCACCCTGAACAGTAAAGACTTCAGTAGGAGTTGCCATGACTCCACATTGGTCAGGATCAGGCTTTCAGAGTAGAGATGCTGTCCACCATTGAGAAGCTTATCATCGGAGATCCTGGTTTTCTCTGGAAAAAAAATCATCCTCAATTTTTGGATTAAAAAAGGAATCTTTTTCCATGATCAAAATGATACACCGCTATATATAGACTAGCTAATTGCCGATCAAGAATAACATGGGAGAGGGGAAGCGGGTGGGTATGGAGTGCTGCCACCCACCACCCTGTGCTGCCCCCCAGGACAAGCGGGAAAAAGCTTGCACATGCTGCTGCCACCCACTGCCCTGTGCTGCCGCTGCTCTGCATCCAGCCACGTGCCACCCACTCCCTGCCTGCTCTGCATCTGGCCCCACGCCCCACTCCCTCACCCCAGGGCAGTGGGTGGCCACCACCATTCTTGACGCAGCACTAACTGGAGCCCTGCACTGCCAGGAGCCACGCCCCCCAGGAGCCTTACGAAACACAGGCAGACACACAGACTAAGCCTTTTATATGTATAGATAATATTTTAGTGGTGTTCCATTTTAATCACGGAAAAAGGTGGATTTGGAGTTACCTTTCTTAATCTGAAAATTGGGGATTTTTTTATCAGAGAAAACCAGGATCCCTGGTCCTCAGGCACTGGTCTTATGTACCTAAAAAGCCCTGCCCCTTCCTGTCAGATGGTTTTCCAGTTGTCCACAGGGGTTTCCATTTTGGCCTGAGGGCTGACCTGCCCTTCTCGGTGGTGGCTTAGCTGAGCTGCTTGTAGCTCTTTTGCTCCTAGGCAACCTGGATGTCCACCCCCTGTGCGTATTACTTTTTGCAGCTAGCTCCTGGGGTAGTCACCGCCCCCCCAGGGGTAGCCCCTATCCTGTTATGAGCCTGTCTGCTTTCTGATGGCTAGTCCTCTGGTAGTTAGCTTAGCTTAGCCTGCCTTCTGGTTCCCTGCTACACACACACATATATATACATATGCATATACATGAGATGGCTGTGTAAGATCCTGAAAATAAAGACAGAATACAAAACACAACAGTGCTGGAGTGCACAGGACTGACACACTTAAAAACCACTATAAAAAAGAAGAGGTTGAGATTGGCCATGTCAGGAGAACTGGAGAAGACCGTAACCCCAAGAATATTTTGTATAATGAGATTTGAGATGGCTCTAGACAGCAGAGTTGCCCTGTATGGCAGTACCATGACCTGTGCAAAAATATGAAGTTGTTCAACATGAACATAAAAAGCTGGGAGGATCGTGCAGAATCCTGTCCAATCTGGAGGGAACATGTGGCACTGGGTGCAGCTCAACATGAACCAGCTTTGATTCAGAGGATAGAAGCAAAGTGAGAAAGAAGAAAGCAGCATGCTGACTCCAACTCAGGCAACATGCTGATCTGTGAAACTTGTAGCCAGCTGCGTTGCTCTCCAATTGGGCTTGTCAGCCACAAGCAGATTCATCTGGCAGCTGACTAGACCTCTTACTTGCACATCATGATCCAGAGGATCAACAGTTGCCTACTACATGTGTATAAATACATATATATATACACGCATATACACACACACATATGTGTGTGTGTGTAAATGTATATATACACATATATGCATATACACACATATATGCATATGCATGCGTATATATGTGTGTCTATATATATACACATTATGTATATTTAATAGATTTCATAGACATTAGGGCTGGAAGGGACCTTGCAAGATCATCGGATCCAGCCCCCTGCGTGCGCGCGCACACACACACACACACACACACACACACACACACAGGTGTAGGTATATATACACACATATTAGGGCTGCGCAAAACAGCACCGTTTCGTTTGACTTCCGTTTTGCTGTTTCGATGGGACAGTGTTTTGTTTCAAGTTCTGATTCATTTAGAAAGCACTGTTCTGTTTCATTTTGTCAAAACTTCGCTGTTTTGACGCTGTTTCAACGTTTTGCCCATAGGCTATAATGAGGAAGCATGAAACTACCTATAACTTTGTCATTTCTTGTCCAATTCAGATGAACCTTGCAGAGATGGTAACCCCTTCTAAGGCCATGAAGCCTGCCAGCCTTCAAGGAAATAGATGCTGGGGTTTCTGGGAAAATGCACCTCAAAGTATTGAAAGCAAAACTCATGTCACTTGTAAGTATGAAGGCACAGCGGGGTGAAAACTGCAGGGAGGGTAGCCCTTGCTGAGGCCATGAAGCCTGCCATGTTTCAAGGAGAGAGGTGCAGGGGTTTTTGGAAAACTGCATCTCAAGCTGCTGACAAGCAAATCTCGTGACATGGGTGACACACTGGGTGAGGGGCCTCTACACAACACGGTAGCGTGCCCCAATGAGGACTCCTCCCCTACAGCCTCAGTCCAGTTCACCACTTTAAATGACAACAGGTAATAAAATAACTTAGTGAGTACTAGCACAGTAGCATCAGCAGCATCTCAGGCAGCCAAACTGTGACAAAGCTTTTCTTTCCTCTCCTCCAGGATCTTCTTCTTCAGCGTGTGTGCTAAGACGTGCCCTCACTGTGTGACTGTGTGTGTGTTAAGGCATGCCTTTACTGTGTCCTTCTCCCCTCTTCCCCGCCCCTCTCCTTACTTTCTGTTTCCCTGCAGGAAATCCCAGCTTCAGCTTCGAACTTGAAACCTTTTGAAACTTTTGAAATATTTCAACTGCCTCATTTAGTTTCAAGGCTGCTTGGAAGCCATTCGTTTCATTTTGATGTTGCTGTTTCGAGCTCAAAATGAGTCGGAACAGCACTGAAATGAAACAGCTGGTGAAATTCTGCACATCCCTAACACATATATATGTTTATGTATGTATACGCATGTATGTGTGTAGGGGCAGGCAATTATTTCCGGCAGAGGGCCACTTACTGAGTTTTGTTAAGCCATTGACGGCCACATGACAGTCAGCCAGTGGCAGATAAATGTTAATATTCTTAATTTTGGGGGGGGCCCTGCAGGCCAGATAGAATGGCCTGGCAGGTTGCATCCGGCCCCTGGGCCGCATTTTGCTCAGCCCTGATATATACAGACACACACACATACATATACATGTATCCATGTGCCTATAAAATCTGGCCCTGCAAAAGCCTGGAAATATTACATGTGTGCAAATCCGTGTGTGTATGTAAGTATGTATAAAGATTGGAAATACCACGTGTCTAAATATATATGTTTATATTTGTGTGTGCATATGTATCTTTACACACATGTAGTATTTCCAGGTTTTCACAGGGCAAATACGTGTGGGTATAAAATACGTAACCATATATGTGTGTGTATCAAATCTCGTCCTGTAAAAGCCTGGAAATACTACGTGCGTGTGTAAAATCTGGCCCTGCGAAAGCCTGGGAAGTTTAAGCTCCACATGGGGCTGGCGAAGCCGAAGGCCGCAGAACCGGCGGGAAGACCGTGGCCGCGCTCAGGGGCCGCGCCCTGGGAGGGCCAAGGACGCCCCCGCCCCTGCCAGGGGCGCGCCGGGG